GACAAGGTGTTATTTTGACGTGCAATTTCAGTTTTGTGTAATGTGATCATCTTGGATTATTATGTGTAAAATTGCAAAAATATCATTCATTCATGCATGACGGCGATTTAAACCTAATTCACTTCAATAAAGATAACTATACATGCTATTCTTGTCATGAGCATCAAGGTGTGGGGGCGCTGCGGTGCAAATTCCACTCATGTTTAGTACATGTTAACTCAAAGATTCGTAGAAAAAATATAAACGGAGGAATTATGGTATTCTTCTGTAGCCTGACGACGAGTAACTTTAACCGTTGTTCATGTGATCTCAAAGACAGCCTGATGCTTTGTTTCTAGACTATTTGTGGGTGGCTGTTTGTTGTTTCACCTATCAATTCGTGTCGATAAAGTATAATAGGGTAAATCCTGTATAGTGTTTTATCCTATATAGTGCTTGCATAAAGCAAGTAGTGCATACACTTGTAGCTGTTATGTATCTTTGTAAGTCATTGTAAGCCCTCTTTTGAGGCACGCCCACATTTGGCCACATTTGTGTGAGGAACAGGCTAAATTCATGATGCTTTTTGGTCTCATTTGAGATTTGTAAGACCAATATCGTACCATTTCAGTCTTAGGTTTTGTCCAATTACTCATATACCCACACACAAACACCTGATGACTGTCCCAGTGCATGGGAAGAGAGAGAGAGAGAGAGATCGACAGGGAGATTTTCAGGTTGAGTGCACCCCATTAAAAGAAGCCATCTGTTTATCAGCAGAGCGACTGAAGAATTGGGAGCCATTCAGTTTTGTGGAGTGACCCCAGCGTGGCCCTGAGAGAGAGCCAGTCTGATCAGTCTGTCTCGGTCTCACTTATGCTCACTGCCTCTTTCTTTCTCTCCCATGCTCCTTTTTATACTTTTTTTGTATGCCTTTAAAACCATCTTTGCCCTCTTTCGTTTGAGGTGCAGGGCACACATTAAAAACCTTTTTACATGTTTGCATTTTTCTCTCATAAAATCTCTTTTAACCTTACCCTTCGGTTACAGCCACACATTGCATTTATGAAATTTATGTTATTGCATGTGATATTTTATACTACCTATGCTAAAAGCGGTGAAGACCGAAAGATATAGCATTGTAATGGGAGTTTAATATGCTGTTTTAGTATTATTTCTATACCTTTTTTGAATTTTCTTGTATTTTTATAATTTTTTGTCATTTATTTATTCATTCATTCATTCATTGTTTGTTTGTTTGTTTGTAGTTTTCTCGTCAGTTGTAGTTTTAGTAATTTTAGTACAAAAAAAACTAAACTTACATTTATTTTGTGTAGTTGCCAAGGCACCATTTCTATTTTTCCTACAGGTTTTCCAAATTATTATTTTTTTGACTAATATTTCTATTTTTTTATAGTTTCAGTTAAGTGCAATGAGCAAAGGAACAATGCACTGATAGCTACAAGAGTGTATTTCTATGCAAATCATTCATGATTCAGTTTTTAGATTTATTTTTATGTCCGTTTTAGTTTTAGTAATTGTAGTTCTTCTAAAGTATACATTTAGTTAGTTGCCAAATGCAGCATTTCTAATCGAAAATTTATATTTTATTTAATTTCAGTTTTATTTAAATTACTGAAAAACTTTTTTTAAATAGATTTAGTTTTAGATAACATTAACAACACTGGTTTTAGAGCAAAGAAACAATGTCCTGATAATTACAAGAACGCAAATCATTCTTTAAATAATTTTTTAACATATATTAAGGCACTAAACTGAATGCCAATTTATTTAATAATGCCATTAGTTTAAAACCACAGAGAAATCAGTTCTGCTTGTTTTTCACAAATGAGGCCCAATTTAAAAAAAAACATTCAAAAACCATTCAACCACATGGGGGCACTGCAACCGTTGTAATAACCACTTACATCTAACATGTAATGCCACTTTTTCCGCATAGTGATCTCTTAATATGTTTAATTTGACTTTTTACAGTCATGTTGACATAAATTGTGAGGTTAACATTTGTATCGTGTTTAAAAGCTCAGTGCAGTATCATAACTTGCATTGTGCAATTTATCCGAGTGATAAACCTATTGACTTTTCTCGGATGAGAAAAACAGGTTATATGTAAATTAAGTCTTTTTGCAAACAGGTTGAGTGCTTTCTACTGAGTAGGTTAGAAAAAATTATAAATCATATCAGCTTAAGAGGATGAATCTGACTCCATATTTCAGTTTTATTTAGCCAGAAGATTGTTATTATTATTATTAGTTGGCTGGAAAGTGCCTGCGGCGCGCGCGTTCACCTGGCAGTCGTCTCGCCCGCCGTTATCCGGCCATTGTTGCCGTCTAAATGGGATCATGTGTATCAGAAAGGTGTCAGAGAGTGAGCTGAAAATCACTTTCAAAAGTGGATGATTACCTCTGCCACATGTTAACCCAGATTGGCCCGCTTCCATGCACTCATTGCTCCCTCAACCTTGACTGGAGCTTTTCCCCCACAGGCGCTGTGTGTCCATTTATGAAGAATTGATTTCACCTCACCCATATTTCTGCACATCCTTCCTTTTTGTTATAGTCCTAAGAATGTGCGCTTAATCAATAGCCGATGTTTTTTCCTCTCTGTCATTGAGTGAACACGACAGAATTCAGGCGTTTGGGGAATTAATGAATGACTGCAACTAAACTCTGTAAACTTTCTATAGGCTATGGGTTTTGCACCTTGGCTTAATGAATATGTTATATTTTAACATGATGATTTTTTTTTATCATGTTCGTAAATGGGGGACGTTTCTGCTGTCGATTTGATTAATCCATGACACTCATCATAATGTTTTTTTTTTCTCTGTAGGTATCTTTACGCTTTAGGCCAGAGAGTCTGGAAGCGATGGAAGAGGAGATATTTTGTGCTTGTTCAGGTGGGCAGATTTCCTAATTACAGCTTTATGTATACATTTAATTCATTTGCTGAAAAGAAAAGGTTTTCAAATGATTTTGTCAAAATAACTATAAGTGGGTTTTTTTTCAGCAAATTAATTTTTGAATGTCTCATGTATTTTGTGTTTACAAATGTGGTTTTTGTTGTTTTTCTGAAGGAAAACTGTAGTTTTTTTTAGTGTAAGAGTGCTGCACCATCATTGATTTAATAAAATAAATGAATAAATTACTATCGTACATAACTACCAGCCTCCTGAGATAACAGCATCATTTTTGTGTAAAATATTTTATCAGGAAAAAACCTGTTTTAAGGTAGGTATGGTTTGATTTGTGATCGTGTTGAATGAATCAGCAGGTTATGTTGTTTAATTTGATGTGTCGCACACACACACACACACACACACACACAAATAATAGCAAGAAATATAGCTGACCAGTCAGAGAACGTTGTGACATCATAATTATTTTTAATTGGTACATTTGAGTAAAATACCACAAAATACACAATGCACAAAATATAAAAATTCCATGTTTTCATTTGGTGTTATCTTCATTTGTGACATAAATGACACAGTTTAGATATAAATTCTAAATTTTTTAAGCTCTGTGTAGCGTACAAATATAATAATATTTTATTACAGTTTAGGACGAAAAAAAAGGAGATTGTGTTAAGATGATTTCCTCTCTGTTCTGTTATTCAGGTGAGTCAGTACACATTTGCCATGTGCAGTTACCAGGAGAAGAAGTCCGAGCCGCATGAGCTGATGCAGTTGGACGGGTATACGGTAGATTACTCCGATCCGCAGCCAGGTACACTCACACTTCAACACTAATGCCTTATTTATTAATGCTCATGTGGGAGTTTAGAATTTAGTTCAAAATTGGATGAATAATCATGGTTAAATTAATTTCAGTGACCTCTGTCTTAAAATTAAATTTCACATTTGCTGCATTTGAAAGAGATGCACATTATGAACTTAAATGAAGCGGGTACGACTTATTGTAGAAAACCAAAATATGTTTAATTACAGAGAATTAAATTAGGTGGAAATAACATGTAAATATTTAGAATATTCTGTATTAATAATAATAATGCAATAGTGTAGTGTAAAATAAATTTTTAATGTTATTTTTATATATATATTTATATACACAAATACATATTAAATGTATTATGAATATCTGTATTATGTTGAAAGTTATATGTTTGTTTATAATCTTTTAATAATATATTTTATTAAAATATAAATATCTATAAAATGTTTTTGTGTGTGGGTCAAAGACGAAAAAGGGTTTAAGCATAAAAACAATATGTGTAATACTGCTTTAAATTGTTGTTGTTAAAAAGTTTTCTGTTTAATTTAATTGCAATTTTGTTTTTGTTTTTCAGAGCAAAAAATAAATATCCTACATTTTTCTCTGATTTACAGAAGACACCCACTAAAATGTCATTCAGTGTAACAATCTTGTCAGGCATATTTACAACAAAAATCAAGTACAAGTCAGAATACGCATGTTGTTTGAATTTTTACATAAATATTGTTACATTCAGTTACACTGAATGACAATGGAACATTATTTCAACCAAATTTTGACATTTTATTCTCCAAAAACTTACTTGAAACCTTAAAGTAGACACTTTACCTACATTTAATGTGCTTTCTATGGACATAAAATCACTTTTGTAAATTTCTTTTGATGCGGACATCTTAATGTCTTTGACCCGTGTGTGTGTGTGTGTGTGTGTGTGTGTGTGTGTGTGTGTGTGTGTGTGTTGTTTTTTTATGTTTATCAAAGTTCAAAGCAACTTTACTTTGAGATTATTTTGGTAACACTTTAGTATAGGGACCAATTCTCACTATTAACTAGTTGCATATTAGCATTCCTATTATTAACAGATTGGCTGTTTATTAGCATTTATAAAGCACACATTCTTCATGAGCATATTCTACATCCCTAATCCTACCCAATCCCTAAACTTACCAACTACCTTACTAACTATTAATAAGCAATAATTAGGAGTGTATTAAGGAAAAAAGTCATAGTTAATAGTTAGTCAAGAATTAACCCATAAAATAAAGTGTGACCATTCTTTTTTAGCATCAGCTGCATGAAACACATTATGATTGATGTGTAGATGCCTAAATAGAGCAACAAAACCACACATGAGTGTATTTCTTAGTGAAGTGTTCTTGAGAGAATTGACATGTATTAATTTGCTAAAAACCAATCTCTGCAGGTCTTCAGGGAGGCAGAGCCTTCTTCAGTGCTGTCCGAGAAGGCGATCTGGTGGTGTTCGCCAGCAATGACGATCAGGATCGCGCTCTTTGGGTCCAGGCCATGTACCGTGCCACAGGCCAATCCTATAAACCAGTAGCGCCCACCCAGAACCAGCAGAACTGCAGAGGAGGGAACGCCCAAAAAGATGCCCCTGTGTCCTTACTCAGTATGTTATATGTCATACTAATATGATCCTAATAAGTGTCTTTTGTATTGTGATTTTCTTGATTTCAGACCTTTTTTTTTAAATAAGGTGGGCTCTTTTTCTGCCACCTTCAGCTGTCCTCTCCTGAATGAACTTTGAAATTGGAGGTTGTGGTAGCCAGCCATCGATCCATTGGGCCGCAGCACAGACACAGTCTAAACAAATGTCAGTGGGGGGCTTGAATAACCCAAACACTGCTGCTGAGTGAAAGGAGGAGCACTTACACAACTGAAATGCTACAGTTTGCTCACTTTCAACAAACGGAGAGTGAGCCGAATGAGGTTCATGTCATTATCGCCTCTGAAGAAGCGTTCTGTGAGCTCCAGGGCATTCATTTAACGTAAAAGCTAAGGAACATGGCTTAAAACTAGCATTTCGGTTTATAAATCTGCTCATATAGAGTATATGTATAAAATCACTATAAAGCTTCCTTTTTGAGTGCTGATGGTGATTGTGAACATGAAAACAGGCTTTTATGGCACTCGACTTCACAAGCGCCGCCATTTGACTTTCATAAAATGTTTTTCAAGGTCTCTTCCCTCTTGTCTTACTGGACCTCATACACATCTTTTCATGCCTCCGAGGTTCAATGCAAAAGCCACCTCGAATGATAGCGAATTGTTTGACAAAGAACATGGAAAAGTTCCTCAGATCGTCAAAACATATCATCGCAGCCACTGATAACCGTAGTATTCGGCCAATTAAAAGGTCATGCATTCTTTCAGAAATACTTTTCATCACTAAATGAATCCAACAAATTCACCTAAAATCCAGTCCCATTTGACGCCTGTTAACAAAATCCACCACATTTCGGCGAGTCGATGAAGTTATTAACTCGTCCTGACATTGGATTTCCTATCATGGATTGATTCGCAGAGATCTGTCTCGCCGCCTTACGCTCAACACTACCCGGAGTCCTCTCATAGCCAGATCGGTGTTTCATATCTGAAGGAACACCGATGTCTTGTCCTGCCTCATTAGTCTTTCCGACTCCAGCTGGATTCACTTGAAGCGACCCGCCGAGCCATACCTGCGATATCGCCCCCGCTGCCGTGTGGATACCTGTCATAAAGCTCCCGTCTGCCTTGTGGAGAGATGTCAGATGGATGTGACTGCTGGCGTGACCGCCTGGACCGGGCCCCTTCAGCTGGGATTAAAGACGACGCACCCCCTCCGCACTGACTCCATCCACTTGTCCATGGATAATAGCGGTAACTTGAAGTTGACACGGATCAATGTGCTGCTCCTGTCAAACCCCATCCGTCAGACTCTCAACGTGGATCAATACCACGCTCCTCTTTTGTCTCTTTTTTTTCTCGATGTAACGAACGTAAAATGACCTACATCGAATTAAAAGAACAGACAATGGGCTGACACTTTTCGATTGGGAGATGGTACTTCTGAGCACCCAACAAGTGATGTTTTGGGGGGAGCCAACAAATGCCCACACTGCTTCCAGGCAAGAACGGGGCATTTCACCATCAATACCAAGTCGTTGGCATGCCAGAAATGGCAGCGTTAATAAAAGCAATCACTAATGCTCGTCTCAAGAAGGTGCCGCTGGCCATGGAGGCGTCAGGAGATGCGTCTCAAAAGCCTTGGTCTTTTGTGGTGCTTGAGAAGCGAAGGCCCTCGCTCCGCATATGTGGGCTCTCAACACGCCGCCAGCGAGTGTTAGGCTTTTCACGGACCTCCCATTAGCCCATTTTGAGGACGTTCATGAAAGGACTGGAAATGAACTTGGACACACTTTTAGTGCTTTCTCCTGCTTTTTCTGCCTCGCTTCTTTCTCTCGGCTCCTTCTTTCTCTGACTTGCCCTGACCCCTCGGCCCCTTCGCAAGGTTTTTTTTTTTCCCGCTCCCGCATTCAATTTCCCCCCGTTCCTCTGTGCCCAAGCCGTGTCAGGAAGTCTGAATGCATACGTCGGTGAACGTGCGCCTGCGTTCGTCCTAATTACAGCGCTCTCACAAAAGTGCGCTCCTTTTACTCAAGGTCGAGAGACTCAATCAGAACGAGTGACATCACTTTTATACAACTCACCTGTCTTCACCAGTCACCGAAAAAATTGCTTTAAGTGCTTCGAAGTCACACGTTATTGTTTATATTCTGTTTCCACACAGCTGCGTTTTAAGCGTTTAATGCGCTAAAGATCAGAACATTCAGCCCGTCGCGGCTTAGTGAAGGCCACAGGGTGGTTTTTTTAGCCAGACCTGGCCTTTATTTTAAAAGGCTGAATGCTGGTTTGAATGCGAGAGGTGTTCGATTGATAAATTAGAGCACTTTGGTGCTGATATTTACTTCAGTTTACAGCCACGCTTCGCTAACGGTTCAGAGCGCCTGCCAGCTGAAATGTGGAAAACTGAGTTTCACAGTGTAGCTTTGGCCAAAAGAGGTGAAATGCAAACACTCAGGCTGTGTACGGAGATGGAGAGTGTGTAACCAAACACAGATTTCAGGCTTTTACACAGCGCTTCAAGGTGTGAACCACACTTGTGTTCCACTACGGTGGCTTCATTTGAATAGTAGTACATATAAAATTGTTTGCGATATTTGTTTGGCCTTTTATATAATGCTATTTTGCTATTTAGTAATTAAATGTTTGTTTCCTTTGCCCTAATGGACGTCTTTATGTATTTTTACAGCACAAACAGGCATTAACTGGCCATCTCTTGTGGTGGGGATGGGATTTTCAGCACAGAACGGTGCCGTATGCCAGCGCGTGCCAGATTTCTGACTGTGTGTGTGTTTCTGTCGCAGGTTTGGAGAAGACTCAGAGACAGGGAGTGGAGGAGCTCATCTCTTCCATGCCCTGCAACTTCGACCACGCCAGCCTGTTCTTCATCCTGCAGAAACACACACTCATACACCGCATGAACGACTCCTTTTCCTGCCTGGTGAGAGCACAAAAGTGTGTTGCGATGGAGATGATGTGGTGTTATATGAATAATTACACTTATTATATAAAATGTGTTTTTGTTCAGGTAGTTAGTGATTCTTCTGAACAATTCTGGTTCCTTTATGGTCCCAACTTTTTTGTACTTTCAAGAAAGAAATATTTGTTAAAGACAGTCAAGATAGAATTTAGGTAATAAGTAGTGCTGTCAAACGATAAATCGCGATTAATCACATTCAAAATAAACGTTTTTGTTTACATATTGTATGTGTGTGTACTGTGTATATTTATTATGTATGTATAAATGTACACACATACAGTATATATTTTGAAAATATTTACATGTATATATTAATATTCATTTAATTTATATTATATATATAAATATATATAAATTTAAACAACATATTTTTCTTAAATGTATACATGCATGTGTATGTATTTATATATACATAATAAATATACACAGTACATACATATTATGTAAACAAAAACTTTTATTTTGGATGCGATTAATCGCGATTAATTGTATGACAGCACTAGTAATAAGTAAGTGTAACATAAATGTACAAATGTATGCGTTTGACTTGTAAAGAATAGTTTGTTTGGGAATCGTTTGAACTGCATTGGTTGTGCTATATGGTTTTGACTCACACTAATAAGAAATGACTCATAAGTATCATTCATTTATGAATCTGTTGAACTAAATTGTCGTGCTAAATGGTTTTTTATACCGTTGAAAAAAACGGCTAACCAGAATCATTCCTTCAGGAATAGTTTGGAATACACTGGTTGCACTACGTTTTTAATAACTAAAAAGAACTGATTCATGAGAATTATTTGTTCAGGAATTGGTTGAACTACATTGGTTGCGTGCGCTATATGGTTTTGACTCACTAATAAGAAGTGACTCATAAGAATCATTTATTTGGGAATCAGTTGGACTACACTAGTCATGCTGAATGTTTTTTATTCACTAAAAAGGTGGCTCATAAGCATCATCCGTTCAGGACTACATTAATCATAAGGAAGTTATTCACTTGTTCGGGAATCATTTGAACTACATTGGTTGTGCTATATGGGTTTGATTCACTAATAAGAACTGCCTAATAAAAATCAACCATCATCATATGCTGGCTGCCCTACAGTTTTGATTTACTGAAAATAACTGATTTGTAGGAATCATTTGCTCAGCAGTTGATTTGGCTACACTGAATACGCTGTATATTTTTTGATTCATTAAAAAGAACTGACTCAAGAATCATTTGGGAATCACTGTTTTTTCGTAATCATTTGTTTGGGAACTGGTTGGGCTACATTCTTTGCACTATATGGTTATAAATTACTGAAAATAATTTATTCAGTTGTTCAATTGAATTGTTTTGGTGACACTGGATGCACTGTATGTTTTCTGTATGAAAACACAGTATGATTCACTAAAAAGATCCAGATCAAAAGAGTCATTTGTTCAGGAGGTGGACTACACAGGTTGTGCTGTATGTTTTTGATTAACTAAAAAGAACCAGATCATTCGTTCTGGAATCGGTTGGACTACACTGGTCATGTGAATGGTTTTGATTCATTATAATGAACCAGCATAGAAGAATCATTCTTTCAGGAATGGTTTAGACTGCACAGGTTGTGCTGCATGGTTTTGAGTTACTTCATTCAAATTATTCTTTGTTAGAATCATTTGTTTGGGAATCATTAGGCTCTGTATGTTTTACATTCATTCCCAAAATTAGCATAAAAAGTCTGTTGATCACATTCAGGTCTTGTCATAAGTGAGTGTGTGGTGTGTTGGGGAAAATATTAGATATGGGAGGGGTTTCTATGACTGGAGGGGAGGGTTGTAGCCCTCCGGCTGAGTCAGGGCTCACGGTTAAGATGGGGATAAACACTTCCAATCAATACAACCCAAATAGGAAAACCATCCGCTTGCATCCCGTCTTCTCCATTTACTGCCTTGAATAAAAGATCCCTGCTGGGGACTGAGTATGTATGTTTATGTCTATGTGCGTGTGATGAAATTGGAACAGTTGTGAGGCACATATATGCGTGAATTGTCCCCAATAGACTACAAGTTGGGTGGAGGTACAAAACACAGTTAATGGTGCAAATTCAATGCTATAGTTTTTGTATATATAACTCCGTACACAATATATAGTAATATGTAGTTGTCATTTTTCCCCATTTGCTGTTAACACCCTCATTGTGGCTCCGTACCTGCTCTGAGTGAGCACCTTCTGTTATCCATTCAGCTTCTGAATAACTCTGTCTGCGTTTGGCTCTTTGTGAAGGCTCTACAGCCTTTGTTCAAACTTCTGTGTTCGGCAAAAAGAGAGCCACAAAAGCCACCTGAATGTGCTGCTTTTCCCATGCCTTCTGGGATGTGACATCTGTGGGGGAGTGGGCCTGTTTTCAGGCAAATGAACAGAGGGGGAACGGGATTTTTCAGTAAACCACATGCATACTATGGTTGCCTACAAAATGTATCTTGTAGATTATGGGTTAAAATGCAATAGAAATCTTCAGACTATCCAAAAAAAAAATTCTCAAGCATCAGTCACTCTTCTTAACTTGCTAGTTTCAAACGTGTTTCTTGTAACTTTATATGACGTTACATGCTTGTTTAAAAATTTGTTACATGAAATTCCATCTGACCACCCCCCCCCCCCCTAAATCATAACTAAATCAATTATATATTTAAATATTTAATGTACAATTTGTATAACATAGCAAATGCAATTTCTGGACAAAGCCTTCAAGTCTCAGATTTTCAAGCTCATTCCAAAACTCCCAATCAATACATGTAGCCTCAAGAAAAATCAATAAGTGGTGCTGTTGTAAAGCATAACTTTTTTTTTTTTTTGCGTCAGCTGTCGTTTGATACAGGGATTAGGCTCAGTGAGCTGTTGGTGATTCAAAGACCAATATTTGGATTTTTTTCTCTTGACTACAGGGAATGTGTACACTGGATTCATTGGACTGCATGTGCATCTTCAGAAGCGACTCAAAAAAAAATTGTATTTTTGCAATCAAAAAGTTCAGACTGTGAATGTGTCTTCAAATTAGGGACAGTGATGACCAGTCATGCTCCAACCTTAATGTAATTACTCGCATCCCCTTCACCCTCCATCCCATAATCACACATTCTCCCCGTGACACACTCCTCCACATTCACCCTTATAAACAACCATAATGGCCTCTAGATGAGACATAAAAAGCTTTCTATTACCATCAGTTACTGCTGGAAATAAAGTGATTCAGGACTTGACCACACAAGAGACACGTATGAAACTAAAATAATTTGAAAAATTTAAATACACAGACACATACATAGTCATACACACTTTGTGTGTATTTTATTTTTTCACGTTATTTTAGTTTCATACGTGTCTTATGTGTGTGTGTGTGTGTGTGTGTGTGTGTGTGTGCCTGAGTGTGTATTTTTTATATATGTTTACTTACTTACTCTGACAACAGTAAATACCTCAAGTATATATAGTCATATAATAGATATTAATATATAGTCCTATTTCCTTCATTTTTTTTATACCATGCAGAACCTAAGTTTGTTTCTCTCAGTAAACTTTTCTTGTATAATATGTATTAAGCCAAAAAACTAAATTGGTTTTGTCGTCCACAAGCAAGGTTTTGTCGTCAGTCTCTCCTTCTGTGTGTGTGTGAGATTTTTTTCCCCCGACAAGGAGAGCCAGACTGGGCCGTGTTCGTTAGGATGATGCTGCTGCCGTCTCAGTCGGTCGTTAGCGGTTAATTGAGCGGTAGGAGCCAAGACACGAGCAGGCCATCTGTTTGCCAGAGTGGAACATCTTGTGGCACTCGGCTCGGCGCTGGGCCACCGTGCCTCAGCCCTGAATGGTGCAATATTAATAGGTCTGACCAAGACGGGAAGAGACGGACTGTGACAAAGAAGAAAGTCGCAGGGAAAAAGTGGAAAGATGGGCAGTAGCTCAGGCCTCTTTTTTTTTTTCTTTTTTTTTTTTGCTGGACCAGTTGGGGAAGTAGTTCAGATTTGCACTTGCCCTGACAATATTTCCACTGGCTCCAAAAAATTATACTTTTTTTATTTAGCATTTTTAAATTTTTAGAACCCATTCATGTCACAAAGAAATATTAAAATATTAATAATAAATAGTAATATAATAAATATTAATAACTAAAAGAAGAGTACAGCAACATATTAGCTTTTTAAGCAATAATATCTGGGAATTATACATTTATGTCCCTCCATGACACGAAAAAAAAAATCATAGTTTTATTTGTTTGTAATTAACTTAATTATTTTTTGCCTGTCACAAGTTATTGAAGCCCGGTGGACATCAGATGCAAGTGCCCAAATTTAACCAAATTTGTTTTTAGTGTTCATAAAAGTTGGGGGGGGGGGGGTTCAATTCAATTGTAATTATTTTTCCCCCTCATTTTCATTTAAGATGCTTAATATTACACTGTAAAATACTTTTTTTTTTAAAGATAATTGGAGTATAGAACCATTTCAAATATTTCATATTTTCTGAAATATATTCGATTTTTTTTTAAATATATTTTTAGAAAAATATTTGAAGAGTTTATTTGCAAAAACAGATAACTCCATTTTTTTAAAAATTTCAGAAATCCTGTTTTTTATTATGTTGTCATGTTTTTATTGTGTTAGTTAGCTGTATTTTTTAGTTATTTTTTTACCTAATCAAAATAACCCGACTGTGTCACTTACAACAGCGAGATGAAAAAACGTGATTTTTGAAAATTGTTATCTGTTTTTGCAAATGAACTCTTCATTTGGAGAAAATACTATTTCAGTTTTTCTACTTTAAAATTTCACATTTAGTCCAATGTGTTACTTGCCTTTTTTTATTATATGTGAATTTTTTTTAGCAATTTCTGAGTGAAAATAGTTTCTACACCCAACTTTTTTCAGCATAGAAATACTCCACATTTGTGTCGCCACATGGAGTTCTGGAGAGGAAAAAACTTTCGACATCTTTGTTAAACTTCCGATGATAAATGTTCCACAGAGGTAGAACTTGTAAGAAAACTCAACAGCTATTTTCTTCAGTCAATGGTTTGTATGTCTAAAAGGTTACCAGCCAACTGGTAAGTAACTCCTTTTATTTACTCCCCCAAGCCAATGTTTACTTTTATTTTGACCCCCTCCGTGTGAGTGTGAGAAACTTGCTTTGAGATCGCAAGGTTGGATGCTCTTTGTGTAACATATCATACTCATATTCATATAGTATCACTAAATATTGAAGAGCTTGAAAGGCATCTGACTGTAATATAAGCACTTAACCTGCATTTAGAGTAATGTAGATAGCAATAGAACAGGTTTGCGTAGGTCAGACAGACCTTTCGATGAAGGAAGAGCCGTGGATGAGGCGACAAGAGAGACTGAGCTATCTCAAAATACACGGCGTATCAGCTTTGTTCGTTGGACTTTAATGAAGCTTTCCGTCTTTGCTCCTGCACGAAGGTCATGGGGTCTCGGTATCTCGGCTGCTGCTCAGTGCCATGAGCGCCAGTCCCTCGTGACTATCGGTCTCCTGTGAACGTCTGAGACACATCACAGTTCTCCTGATTCGCGGCCCTCCGCACCATTGTGGGCGAGCGGCCCCCTCAAAGTGTTAATTTGCTAACGTTCCTTCAGAGAAGGCGTCTTAATTAAGTTTGTAAGATTCATGCCTAATTTAGTTATTATGTGAGGGATGAATGAGCTAATGAATGCAACAGGAGCCTTGCGGCGATCTCCACCCGCCCGTATTATGTGTGACTTTTCTGCCTATGAATTAATTGTTTGCACTTAACCTTGCACTCGTTTGTTTAAATGTTGGAAATAGACGGGGTGTTTTTAACAATATTTTTTGGAAGAGCTCGTCTCGCACGCTGCGGTTTTGTTTTTTTGTGTGTCTTGGCGTGAAATGAGAGGCGTGCTGAAATTAAACACTTCGTGTTCAATTAGCGTAGCAGTGTTGTTGAGGAGAAACTACAGTAGGTATGCACGGCGGATGTCGTGACTTCTTAGAGGTCCTGCAGGGGTCGCACAGAGGCAGCGGCGTTTTAAAAACTTTTTCTTCACTGTTTGCTGTGTTGCTTGTTGCTTTTGGCCTTCGGATACAGAATGTGTATGTTTTATGCCTTTATTAAGTGACATGTATTCAAGGTCCAAAATAAGCACCAAAATAAGCACCGAATAGACCTTCTAGAGTTTATTGCAAGAATGATAGTCTGACGCTGTTGTAAGTGACGAGCAAATCAAATCAAAGACATACTGTACAAACGTTTATAAATTTTTTACTTGAGTAAACATTATACAGTTGGATATCTCGCAGATATTATTTGCCTTTATGTAGGACCAATAGATTTAAAAATGATTTTATACCAGCTGCCATTGGCTTTTTAAATTACAAATAATTTTATGTATATTATTAATGGAAGTCATTGTTTTTGTCTGTGTTGTGGTTTACTGTTGGCTGTAAAACAAATTGCCCTTCGGGGATAATAAAGTTGACCTTGACCTTGACCTTGATCTACGAATCTCTGCTCTGAGAGAATGAACAGATTTGAGCTAGTATTTTTGGGGATAAAAGTAACTAAAAAGTAACTCTATATATACTCAGTTACTTGTTTAGTACTGTAAGGATTTTTAATATATTTATAATTGCTTACTTATGTACAATTACTTGTAATAACTTAAAAATTTGTTGAGATAACTTAAATATCCAACTCAAATAAAGTTAACTAAACTTATGATTTCAAGCATGAACACTTAATTTGTTGCAACAACAAATTATTACTTATTATAATGTTGAATTTTAAGTTGTGATAACTAATTGTAGCAAACATTTTTTACATTGTAGTAGCCTGTCTGTCTGTCTGTCTAATTGAGCGCGCGCTCGCGCACACACACACACACACACACACGTGTATGTATATATATATATATATATATATATATTTCCCACAACGAATAGCCAATTAAAAAAAAAAAAATGCTGTATTTCACGATTGCATGCAACGGTCAGTAAAATATTCAGACACCAACATTTCTCACATTATCACAGTTTATTATATGATATGACAAGAACTCAGAGTTAAACTGTCAGAAAAAATTCAGATTGATAATGTTAGATAACTTTGATAGAAAGGTATGTAGCCTAATGGATTACAATCAACCAAAAAATTAGA